AAAAGATTGCAAAGCCATTGGAAAAATGTGTTTCAAATGTCAAAAAAAAAATCATTTAGCTATTTGTTGCCGAAATACTCTACAACCGCTGCATAGGAGAAACCGACAAGTTAATGAAATAAATAATAAAGCTAAAAGTGAACACAGCTCAGAAAATGAATAAGAAGAAACGCTTGTCCTGACATGTAGTTCAACACGAAAAAAACAATCTAATAAAACAAAAACAATAAATGTAATAGTGGAAAATGTCACGATTAAAATGATTATTGACTCAGGTTCCAGTGTGAACTTAATTGATAAAAATACCTTTGATATAATTAGATCATAATTTAATCTAGAAATCATCAAAAACCATCTTTTCATATGCTTCCAAGCCTTTAAAATGAATAGGTTGTTTCAAAGCTGAAATTGAAGCTAAAAACAAAATAACTACAAACAATATATATATATATCGTAGATAAAAATAATGTTGGAAATATTATGGGAATTGAAACTGCTAAGGAGTTGAACATTTTAAAAATTGCAGAAAGTGTAAAGTTTGTGAATAATAAAAACAATTATATGAATTCAGTGGATAATAAGTCAGATGACGCTGTACAGCATACTAACGTGTGTAAAAACATTGATGATAAAATCAAACTTCCAACGAATCAAAATGATAATAGTTTTGATCATAATGATTCAAATTGTTAAGTCATTTTAAAATTTAAAAATAATTTGATAAAGTTAATTGCAAAATACGAAGATATATTCGAAGGACATGGTAAATTAAAAAATTTTCAATGCAAACTTTATGTAGACAAACCAAGTTACGCAAGTTACAACCAGTTACGCAAAATTTGCGTCGTTATCCTTATCACCTTTAAAAAGACATTCGAGCAGACTTAAAGCGACTTCAACAAGCAGACATTATTGAAAAAGTTGAAGGACCACAAGAATGGATAAGTAATTTTGTAATTGTACCAAAAGCAAATAAGACAGTAAGGTTATGTCTTGATGCTAGAACCATAAACAAAGAAATTAAACGTGAAAGATACCCAATACCTACATTAGATTCGGTAATAGATTAAATGCATGGCTCAAAAATATTTGCCAAACTAGACATGAAGGAAGCCTATACTCAGCTAGAGTTGGACATCGAATCAAGAAAAATTACAAATTTTCAAACGGATGAGGGAGTCTACCGACACAGAAGATTAGTGTATGGGATCAACAATTCGTTCGAAGTTTTTCAAAAAACTATGGAGCAAAGCTATGGTAGAATAGAGGGAGTAAAATTTATCAGTGACGATATTATAATATACGCATCAGACGAACAAGACTTATTAGGAAAATTAGAACTTTTGTTCATCAAAACAAGGACATTAGGTCTGAAGTTAAATAAAAAAAGTGTGTTTTTGCTCACGAGAAAATAAAATTTTTTGGTATTGAAATATCTAAAAATGGTATTAATCCTGATCTAAACAAACTAGAAGCTATCAAGAATGCAAGATCGCCAAGAACGGTCAGTCAGTTGATGAACGGTCAGGTTGGAAGTTTTCTTGGTTTATGCGCATATGTATCAAGATTTATTAAAGACTTTAGTGAAAAAACAACTGTACAACGGGAACTATTAAAAAAAAAATTCAAAATTTAAGTGGGAAAAAAAACATTATGATGCTTTCAACATGCTTAAACGTGGTTTATCAAGTGAATCCGTTTTGGCTTTTTATGATCCGCGCAAAGAAGTGCAGTTAATTACTGATGCAAGTAATCATGCCATAGGTGGAATACTCTTACAAAAAAGAAGGAAAATGGATTAAACCAATCTGCTATATAAGTAGATCATTAACCGCAGCTGAGTTAAAATATAGTATTACAGAAAAGGAAGCTCTTGCTTTGGTATGGGCTATTGAAAAGTTACATTTGTATTTATATGGAAAAAATTTTAAGGTCATAGTGGACCACAAACCTCTCAAATTCATTTTTTCTTCTGGTTCTAAATTAAATGCACGTATTGCAAGATGGCAAATCAAGTTACAGGCATACGATTTTGATGTAATATATCAGAAAGGAGAAGAGAACATTGCAGATTTTATCTCTAGAAATTGTACTCTAAATGAAATACATAGTGAGTCAGATGAAAATGAAGTTGCAGCATATGTAAATTTCTTAGTGACAAAAATGGCACCCAAATCAATATCACTCGAAGATATAAAAACAGAGACAGCAACAGACATCAGTTTAATTACAGTAAAAACTGCGTTGTTGTCGGGTAAATGGCATGACAATCCAATACTTGAACCATATCGTAAATTTTAAAATGAGTTAGCTGATCACGAAGCAATCATATTACGAGGAGAAAAAATTATTTTACCAAAGACGCTTCAAAAAAGAGCTTTACAAATTGTACATGAAGGACATTTAATTGTTGAAAAATGCAAAGGCTTATTGCGACAAAATGTTTACTCGTTTCAAAGCGAAGAATTAAAACTAAACTTTAAAAATGTTGACATAAAGTACATTAAAATAACGCCTCAATATCGGCAAGCGAACGGTATCGTATAAAAATTTATGCAAGATATAGGAAAAATAATTAAAATAACTCATTTTATGGGGAAAAGTTGGAGAGCGGGGCTTCAAAGCATGTTTCGAAATTATAGATGTGCACCTCATGCTATAACTGGTAAACCACCATCTACGTTATTATTCAATAGAAATATCAAAAATAAGTTTCCTTCAATAATAATTGAAAAATCACCCTATGACAAATAAGTGAGAGAACGTCAAGATAAAAAGTATAAGAAAGTACAAAAATATTTTGATATGAAACATCATGCAAAGAAAAGAGAAGACATTAAAGTAGGAGATCAGGTTCTTGTTAAACGCAATAAACCGGGAGGAAAATTAGACTCAAAATATTTAAACAAAAAATATATAGTTAAAGAAAGAAAGCAAAATTTAATCATTGTAGTCGATTAAGAAGGAAACGAGTTGACGCATAATATACAATTTATAAAAAAACTTTTAAAACCTGAACCTAAAAAGTATACAACGTGAAACACCAGTAAATGATATTGAAAAAAAAATAGTTAAAAGAAAATCATATTTAAAGCGAATTAATAGACCTATAAAGTTTTACTATTAAAAATTTACAGACATGATTTATTTATTTGTGTAATAATAGAAACTTTCCCAAACAGGGGGAACTGTTGAGAGTTGGCAATGAAATACATAACATTATGTTTGGTAAGAATGCGTTCACGTGAAACGCATTAGAACTCGTGCGTTAGTTAGAAAGATATTGCAGTGAGTTATGTTTGTTCATATAATACTAGTTGTAAATATGTATGTTATTATAATAAATATTTAATATATAATAAAATATAATATATAAAATATAATTATAAAATAAGATTTAGTAAATATATATTTAAAATAGTGAACACAACAATTCCCTATAGTGATCTATATATATTTGGAACGTAGAATGTTTGGGGTTCAAGAATATGTAACATAATAATAAGAAACTCTTACAGTTCCGTCTCTAAAGTTGATACTAATATTTTTTTTCGATGATTCTGTTACAAACTTCACGCATTATTATACTGCTTAAATGTTCTACATAAAATGTTATCAAAGATTGACTCAGCCACTGTTTCCCTTGATTGGATTTTAGACTAAATATCTTTATCAGGAACTTAATGCAAACTCGGTGGCAAAAGCGTAGTAAAGTTTTAGTGAATATCCTTTAATTAACAGCAAGGAAACTAATATAGGGTGCTTGATTACTCTAATAAAATAAAATAAACTTTCTTTGAGAAATTATTCGTAACTTTTTAATTATTCTAAAACCTGATTTTCTCATATGAACCCGTATTTTATTAAAGGTATAACACACTTAGGCGTGGAAGTTGAGGGAGGCCACGTGCCAAAACAGTGTGTTTTCTTGTGTGTCTAGACCCGATAAAAGTTGCAGTGATAAAAATTAAGGCAACCGTGGCGCAGTGGTAACGCACTTGCCTCAGAAACAAAGAGTCAGTGGTTCAAACTACACCTCTAGGCAAGTTTTGTGACATCTGCTAGGAAGGAGGCGTGAACTTAAAATTAAATGCTCATCCGCGGTGCTCTGTGATAAGACCGTAAAGACTTCTTGGAGCGCCTAAATGAAAATAAATTAAAAAAATAAAAAATTACTGTAAAAAGCAAGTTTCCTAGATTTGCGAAAAAAGAATTTTTCTCAATTACTATTTCTCTTACTTTTAACAAAGTAATAACTAGGTCTCTTACTTTTAAAAAAGTAATGGGCAGGAATCTTGACAATTTTATTACTTCTAAAACATATTTGTAAATATCTCCTTTATTCCATCTGACTTTATTTTAAAATAAAATAAATTCTACTGACCATATTTTCAGCACACAAAAAAGTGGCAAAACATGACATGTGAACAAAACCAAGTTTTTGTAAAATTGAGTAACGATCCTTATTTAACGGCTTTTTAAAACCCTTTTGATTTAAGTTTCTCAACCACTAGAATTTTTTCCGTTCTCCCATTAAAGTATATGGTAGGCTCTTTGAATTTTACAATATCTAAAAATTTTTGAATGTGCAAGCGATAAAATGAATTGAACTTACTTTATGTCTTGATGATATAACAATTAAGTAAAGAATCTAGGTTGAACAATCAAGGTTAAACAACCAAAGTTGAATAATCAAGGTTGAACTATCAAGGTTGAACCAACACGGTTGAACAAATGTTTTCAATCAAAAAAAAGTATTTATAAAAGTAATTATAAATATTTATATTAATAAAAGTCGGTTAAATATTCAAACGCCATTGGATTTTGAAACAAACTGATAATAACTAAAACATGAAAATTCTATACTAGATTGCACAAACTTATTAAAGTTAAAAAAGTTTATAAAAAGTTTATACTTTCTTGTATTAAATAATTTAAATTAAAGTCTACAAAATGAAAACATTATTAACACAAACATTAAATAAAATCAAAGTTAAAAATGCTTTAAACAAAATCGCATACCATTATAAAGTTTTATTTAAATACATTTTCCCAAAAAAATGAAGTATTGTTAAATCACGTAAAACAAAACTGCAAAAATGTAAATACAATATTCAGTGTGCTATTTTAGTGCTATCAAGTGTCATTTTTTATTTTCAAATATAATCAGAAAATATAGAGTCACGGAGAATTTCACACGAACAAGAATGTCCCAAGGATATACTTACATCCTTTGAATTACAGACTACCGTTCTTGACATCAAGTTAGTAGCACAGCCTCCTTCACCTGAAAAACAAGTTTCGTAGTAGTCGGGATCTTGACAGGTGACGTGAAAATGTTGTCGTGGAGTGCAACTAAAAGTTAATTTTTTACAAAATTTTTAAATAATATGAAATTTTGAAAAACTAGTTCCAGTCAGGAATGAGATTTAAAAAAAAATTATTAAGTTGCGAAATAAATCATTTAAATATATTTATTCATAGCTAAGAATTAAAATATTGCTTAAACATCATTATTCTTTTAATGTTTTACTTACGTACACCAATTTGAATAACTAATTAAAAAATTAGTTTAGCTCACGGACCAATTCGTACAACTGGTCTGAGAGTATGTTTGATTTAAATGATATGAGTTGTAGAAAATATTTTATAATAACAAAGATTCATCTGTCTAATCGTCTCTAATTATTAAAAATCTGGTTTGTTTATCTTAGATTAACTCTTAATATTATCATGTCTATTATTATTTTGCCTTGTAATGTGGGGTAAATGAGCCAGTGTAGGTGTTGTCAAGAAAAGGTCTTTAATAACCTATTCATTGCAGTTCTGCTCCTCGTATTTTTAGAGCTATATTAGGATGTTTGAAAATTTCAAAAAATTTAGTTCTTTTTTTAAAACTAGTTACGAGAATTATATTAAATAAACTAGTGTTTCAGTGTCTCATTTAGAAAAAACTTTTTTTAACAATTTTTTTCATTATGTGAATGTTAAAGAAAAATTTAATTGCTAAATAAGTTGTTAACAATTATACTGATTGGTCTAAATAAAATTTTTGTTGGTAGTTTTAAAACTTTTTCGGGAATACTATTAAAACCGTTGCAATGAATACTAAAAAAGCCAAGCTTTCTTAGTATTCATTGTAAAGACAATCGTTTCGAATTCTTCAATTGATACTGGTATAACAAAAAATCATTAAGTTTATCTTAAGAAGGTTTTTTTTTTTTTTTTGAAAAATTTAAATATTTCATATTCAAAAAGTAAAAATTTGAGCAGTCCGCAGTTAGTTTATCTTAATTAAACATAATTAGTAATTAAATTCTTATTGACTATGAATATAATTCAATAAGAATTTAATTACTAATTATGTTTAATTAAGATTTTTTTATTTAAGTAAGAATTAAGTTGATAAAAATCTAGTTATTTGATTTTTTTGAAATGCAGTTGTTAATAGTTAATATTTAGTAACTTTTTTTTCTGATTTTATTAATGATTTTTTTAAACAAATTAACATCTTTTTTTTTACTTTAGATTAGCAAAATATACTTTGTTTTTAGTTGAATACGTCTAAAGATTCCTTTGAAAGATTAAAATGTTTCTTTGAAAGTTTAATTATTCCTTTTAAGTATTTAGAATTTTAGAACTTTTTTACATTGCGATTGCTTTTTTTTCTTGTATGAGATTTTAGTGGGACTTGTTTGTTTAAGATATTTTTGAAGTTTTGTATGAGTAATTTTACTGATTGATTAGGATTATCATATATAAAACATTAGCTAAACATCAATTCCATATAGACTTTTTTTACTTAATGTTTGTATGCTGTTGCAAGCATATAGCCCACCTATATTATTTGCTTAGAGCGCTGAAGCGACACTTTCTACTAAAGCAAACAATAGATGTAATACTTTAAACTCGAGAAATGTGTCGAACAGCTTCATTTAAGAAAGTAAACCAGAAGCTTTTTTTTGCAACCTCATTTGATCCTGCTTCAAATGCTATCTCTTCTATTGTATCAAAGGTTGCTGTGTAGTTCTCGCGGACAGTTTTTATTGACAGTACGCGCTGTCCGACGAAACAGTTGCTACTTCCTGAAATATTAGATTAAGACAGTGGATTAAGCAGTGAGTAGATAATGCTAATGAGGGTTCTTGTAGTATTTTAGTAGCAATAACCATACATTTTACCTTTTATAGCAGAATTATAAGTTTGTGTCCTAATATAACTCAATGAAAACTACATTTAATTAAAATATCTTTTGAAACGTTAGTTACTAAAACTTTAATTATCAACCTTTTCACATTCGTGCATACCTATGAAATATTCATGTACTTCATATTGATCTGACACTTACCCTCAGTGAAAAAAAAAACGTTTTCCCACATGGTTTCCATAATCTGATCAGACCCCCATCTAACTATTAAAGTTAAATGTTCTAATTAACTTTAACAGTTTTACCCAGAAACGTCCCTACAAGCATTTGTTTTTAAAAGTTACGTTCTACATTTCTTCTAAGAAAATGTATGTATATATATATATATATATATATATATATATATATATATATATATATATATATATATATATATATATATATATATATATGTATATATATATATATATACATATATATATATGTATATATATATATATATATATACATATATATATATATATATATATATATATATATATATATATATATATATATATATATATATATATATATATATATATACAAAGTTTTAAACCTTGTTAAATATTTTATGTAAAAACGCAAAAGATCAATTTGTAAGTTACCTAGCTGGAAGTGTAACAAGATGAATGCATTCCCTGCATAAGTTGTAATGGGTGCCAGCGCTATTCAAAGTTTTTTTTAATTTGCAGCATTTCTTTAAATCAGAACAGTAAGTGACTTGTGACCCATCAGGAAGATTTTGTGGAGCTTTCCATGATTGTGCAGCTTTTCTTTTTCGTGACTTAGTTGATTGTGTGGACAGAACATACTTTGATGATGCTAATATAAATGGAAAGTAAAATACGTAAAAAAAAAATTTAAAAACTAAAAATGAATTTGTAATTAGGTTTATAGACTGAGAGACTACAAATTCTAAACAGATTATGTGTTGAGAGACAACTAAGTTTTTACACATGATGTGCTAAGAAATTGTAAATTTTAACGCGTATGCTTTGAAATTTGGTATATTTCTAATTTTTTTAAATTAAAAATATTACAAAATGTAAAAAACTGAAATGGTTCGATTGCTTTTTGCATCCTATACTTTAGTTCCCACTATAATTAAGTTCTGAAAAAACTGTTTTTATTTTATTATAATCTTTTTATATATTTATTTTGACTCCTATGCATCGATATCTAACATTTAAAATTTTTTACACGTTTCATTCTTGGTAAAAATTGGTAAACTTGGGCTAGAGCAGGTCTCGAACCAAGAACATTTCCGTTCTTAGCCAGAGCTCTAACGACTCTGCCACGGCTGCTAAAGTCCTTAGGTTTTTTTATTATTTGTTACTCACTAATATATATTTGTAGTTGATACATATTCTGAAACTTACCAATATATATTATAAACTTTACTATAATACTATAGAATGGTGCACATCATTCAATAAATGGTGTACACCATTCAATAAATAGTATACACCATTCAATAAATGGTGTACACCATTCAATAAATGGTGTACACCATTCAATAAATGGTGTACACCATTCAATAAATGGTGTACACCATTCAATAAATGGTGTACACCATTCAATAAATGGTGTACACCATTCAATAAATGGTGTACACCATTCAATAAATGGTGTACACCATTCAATAAATGGTGTACACCATTCAATAAATAGTGTAAACCATTCAATAAATAGTGTACACCATTCAATAAATGGTGTACACCATTTAAATTTTGGTAACTAAATGAACTTATAGTTTTCCTTTTGTATTTCAAAAAATATTATTTTAAACAATGAATTGGTAATGATAAACGGATAAAAATTTATTTATATTGAACTTTTAATTGAGTAAAGGATTTTCATTAAATATTTTTGATATTGGTACATATTTGATAAAATTTAATTTGATAAACATATTACCGATTAATTTCCGCTGACCTAATTAAAACCATTTGCCATGTCATGTTAAACAGTTTTATTTCGATAATTCATGAAACAATATATATGTATTTAAAAATAGGATAGCTTTAATGTGTATAAGACATAACCCTATACATAAATATAAATGAATCTGATTTAGTTAAAATTAATAACACCTAAACTGTTGTTCTTTTATTACGTGTGCTAAAAAAAGTAAACAAATTGAAATAATAATAATAAAAAACAACTTGATAAAAGTTTCAAAATATTCAAAATAAAATTAACTAAAGTCTAAACAATTTTTGCTAAAATTAATGACAAACAACTAAAGCCTAAAATAGGAATTTAACTATTTATCAAGTATTCAAAATTCTGCGGCAAACAATTTGTATAAAATTTTAAAATCAATAAAAAAAAATTATTTTATTAAAAAAACATAAATTTAAATTTCTTTCTGAAAAAATATGACAAGGACTTTTAATTATTTTTTTACTTTTTATTTTATTTTCACAATAACAAAATTTGTCTGAATTTTTCCTTGAAAAAAAATTCTTTTCACCTTTAAATTATTCTAATAAAATTTCAATATGTTCTTAAATAGAACAACTGAAGCATCATTTTTTTAAGCAAAGAAATTATAGCCCGTAAATTTGGAGTACTTTTTAAAAATCAGCATATTTTTCAAAATTTTGAAAAATTTGATAGCATTTTCCGTAGTTGAATATTTAAGCCGTATTTAATCAGTCTAATATTATTTGACGTACTTAATAAATTAAAAAAAAAATGATTTAAAATAACAAAAAAAAAATAATAATAATAATAATAATAATAATATTAATAAAAAAAAACTCAATGTAATAAAAATATTTTTGATATAGTAGATATTTTTTGTACTTTAGTAAAAAACTTGTCCAAGAATTTATATAAAAAATAAATATATTATTTTTTGGTCAGAGTATAATAATAAAAAGATAGTTATTGAAATATAAAAATATTTTGATTTGTGAGAGATAAAAATTTTGAAATTTTTGAGAAATAAAATAAAAATTTTGAAATTGAATGAGAAATAAAATATTTTTTTACATTTTAAATCGTTTCCTATGATTTTTAGAGTTTTTATGTTTTTTGAATCCTCATTTCAATTTGTTGTTGAATAGTATTTAATTAACACTCACGGTTAAAACACTACGAAAACACTTCGAAAACGTTTTTAGTATATCTGTTATCTTTTAAAATATGACATCCGATAATTTATTCAAACGTTTGCATTTACTTGTAGTAGTGCTTGATAATACACAAAATCTTATTTAACTATCCTAAGATTGGACTGAGAATTGACTTTTTTGTAATTGTATTGAAAACAAAATTAGTTCCCAAGTATTGATTAAAATCATTTAAAAATGATCTAACAGTAAAGTTTTTAATATTTTATTTACAAATATATAATTTTATTTATTATTTCTAAATTATTTCTAGTTATTTAGCAAACATAAATATAAACTGATAATTAAGTAAAATTAAAAAAGTAATTAAAAGATAACCTAAGTTTAATATTTTAGCTATTAGTTAATTTATTAAACATACACACAAACACTTTTTTAAACACAAACATTGTTTTGCAAATGCTTCTTTAAGGGTGTACCATTTTACAAATTAAAAGAACAAAAAACATTTTGCTTAAGTTTTCTCTATAACATATAAATCATTTAATAATTTTGTTTGTGTTTTATTTTGTATTATGTCAATATTCTGTCAAGTGTAAGTATTTTTTATAACAAGTTATTTTACAAAACGTATAATATATTAAAGTTTTGTCTGTTAACGTTGACTATATAATACTATAATAATGACTATAAAATACTTTACCAGATTTCTAAACAATCAACAATAATCATTTTGTTTAGACTTTTCAAATTACTTTTGCGTTCAAATAAAATACATTACCTAAGCAAACTAAAGGGTTCTTTAATAACCGATCTTTTAGAGCAAGTGCAAGTGCTAAATCTTCTGCGGTGTGTTGACGGGTGCAGATGTTTTCTGAGTAGAGTTTTTCTACAAACTGTAGCTTTGGAATCAACTGTGTGCATAAAATAGAGACCACAACAAAAGGAAAAACTGATGCTTGTTTGAATATTCGTTGCATAATTTTTTTCTTATTTTGTCTAATATATATATATATATATATATATATATATATATATATATATATATATATATATATATATATATATATATATATATATATATATATATATATATATACTCAAACAAAAGTGTTTATGCATATATGTTGTTAAATAAAAAATAGGTGTGTAATATATGTATAACGTAGGTTTAGCGCTTCTTCTATTTCAGCAATGTTAAATAGAGCTCCGTTTTTGTACTTTTCTTCGTTTGATAATAATTATTAACGGATCAGTTTGGATTATAAAAATAATTATGTGAAGAGAGTAACTAATATATAGTAAAAATGATGTTATGCGTGTTTAATCAATTTACCCGCATATTTATTCACTGCAAAAGTACATACATTAATTTAAAAAAGAGATAGACACTATAATTGTGGTTTGATATGATTTAGGTATAGCCTAGTAGCCTTTCATACTTTAATGTTTTTACTTTTGTTTGTTTCTTTTATTTCTTTTAAAAATACGTTGTGTTATAAACTTGTTTTAGCTGGTCTACAAATTAAATCAGGCGTAGTAGTGCAAAGTACGGATTCTTCGAAAAGTTATGCATTTATTGTTGCGCTTTTACGATAAAAAATTTGAAAAAAACTTTTGAAAAAAAAAAAATTGAAAGTTTGAATAAAAAAGAATAAGCAATTCAAGCCATTAAACGCAATAATTTAGCTCATCGAAAAGTTATTTAACAATGCTATAGTTTATTTTATAGATAACGTCATATTCTTGTTTCAATATTAAATATTTTTATTTTCATGGCTTGATTAACTTTTTTAATAATTTATTTGATAAAAAAATATTTAAACTGCTACATTTTACTTTACAATTTTATTGTCGAGTGAGTCTTTTATTTCTTTTTCAAATTATTGTTTTTGTATTTTCTTGAGAGCTGGTATAACAAAAAACATCAATGAAGCAGTATTTTGGCTCTGCAGCTTCCAATGGGTGTCATAGGTGTCATTTTTTGGTGTAATGAGACTTTGTGTCTTTTAGATATTACTTTCGTAGGGATAAACAGGCAAAATGACAAATGGATTATAATGATAATTTATATTACTCAACGAAAAAAAAATTAAAAAGGGTGGAAAAAAACTGTTTGTATATCTTGTATTATAAAATATCATTTGGTTTTTTGTAAATATTGTTAACGTGATTTTGTACGCATGTTTTATACTTGCCATTTACATTTTTGGTGTCTTCATTGACGTTTCATTTATTTTCACCAAAGTTAACGTTTGACAGTCCATTAATAAGTGGTGTTGAGTTTCGTTCTTCGGCTTATGAACAACACGTTTTCTTGATAAATCCGAGCGTTTGCAAACGCTCGGATTTATGATATTAAGATAGATAATAAGAAAACTCAATTGAGTTTTCTTGAAATAGCAGGCTGAAACATGTTGAAGGCTGCTGCAGAAAGATTTTTTTTTATTGCTTCTTGCGTGCAAAGATTGTTTTCTTATGCGCATAATTCGATAATATTTTTTATTTGAGAGTTTATAGGTCTTTTACCTCGTTTTTTATCAGAAAACGACTTGAATGCAGTCAAGTTGTCGAATTATCCTCTGTTTAACTTAACGACAAGATTTTGAACTGTGCGCTTCGATAAATTAAGAGAAGTGGAAATGGTTGTTGTATATTGATTTCTTTCAATTAACTGCTTAAGCATTTCAATGTGCTCTTTTGTAACATTTTTCTTTGTTTTACGATTGGTACTGCTATTTTCTATTCCATCCATAAGGATGTATAATTTTATATTAATAATAAATATATATTATTAAATTTAAATCTAGAAAAATGAATAATTAGATAAATAATAACTTAATCAATCAAAAAATTTAATAATAAAATTACCAAGTATTAATACTAAATTAAATAAACTATCATCCAAAACAAAGAACTAATACTAAATTAAATAAACCATCGTCGAATGTAAAAAGTCTTCGTTTTAAGTATTTTTAACCTCGTTTACCTGGAAATAAGAAAATTTGTTTTATTTTTTTAAAATTTGTTTTAAAAAAATAAACTGCTTTTCGCATATAAGAATGAATAAAAGCGCATATAAAATGAATAAATGCGCATATAAGAATGAATAAATGCGCATGAATGAATAACCCTGTAAATAAGCCGGAGTTGCTTCAATGTTGAAAGTTGGCTACTGACAAAAAAAATTTGGAGCTACGTTTAAAGCTGATGTTATACAATGTATACTGATGCTTGATGTTGTTATTGTAGATTCAGAGGATACTGCATAAGATGGTGTAGTTTCCGGTGTCGGTGGTGTTGATAATGGCATAGACTTGCTGTTTGAGATGAAGAAGACTAAGATTGAGGTAATGGTGCTTTAAACCTATAAAAATTTGAGATTTTGACTTAATTACCAGAGTTTATTCTAATATGCGCGTCTTAAATGTCATTCTTATATGCGCGTCTATTCATTTTTATATGCGCCTTTATTCATTCTTATATGCGTATTTATTTATTTTTATATGCGCCTTTATTCATTCTTATATGCGCATTTATTCATTTTTATATGCATTTATGTAGCATTTGAACCATTCTCTATTGTTTTAGTTATGCATTTCAAATATCTGTATGATTGAGCAGGTTTGTTGAGTAAAAAGTTACTACTTTGGAGTTACTGTTTTTTAGTCAACCTTGTAGACCGTCTCCGTTATTATTTCGTATCTTTTTGCTAGAAGCAAAAAGATACGAAATAATAACGGAGACGGTCTTTTTTTTTTAAACTTTTGGATACGTTTTAATTTTTTTTTTAAAAAAAAAAAAAAAAAATTAAAACGTATCCAAAATTTAAAAAAAAAAAAAAATTAAAACGTATCCAAAAGTCAAAAAAAAAATATATATATTCTTTTCTATTAAAACTTTATAAATAAGATTTTCTACAATACGATCGAAAAAAATTCTTAACAACATGATCAAAAAAGATTTTCTACAACATGACCGCAAATGATGCTCTATAATATGATTGGAAGACACTAACAAACAAATATGATTGGAAGACACAAACAAATTGCTATAATATGATTGGAAAACACTAACAAATTGCTATAATATGATTGGAAGGCACTAACAAATTGCTTTTTTAATGCTTAGATAAAAGCAAAAGAATTATCCTCGATTTTATCTTACCAACATATACTTGATTTAAGATAGTATTTTAACACAACCGAAAAGAGAACAATATTAGATAATGGCTATTATGTTTACTGACGACATCAATTTTTTGTTATCTTATAATAAACGAGATATTTCATATTAACATAATGAGACTATTTCGTATTATGAACACAGAATTAATTAAAATTTCTGAACGGTTTAAATTAAATAAATATTCTTTTAATATTGAAAAAACAAAATGGTCCCTTTTTTATCCATACTGCAAATAACATCTTCTACCAACTGAATTGCTTGCTCTTTTTATAGATAACATGCAAGTTAAATAAGTAACAAATACAAATTTTTAGGCATGTTTATTGATAAAAATCTGACATAGAAAAAGACACATTGAAAACATGTCCTCTGAAAGCATAGATTTACTATTTAAAACAAGAAGCATGCAAAATACTTTATTTATTTATTATTATTCTTTTTATTCACTCTTTTATTGTAAAACTTATTTTGAATAAATTCAATTAAAAAAAAAAGAATGATAAATAGAATTCTACTTATTTTTTTTTTGAGCTTTTTTTTGAGCTTAAGCTCAAAGTTAATAAATATGTTATGAAAAGGTATATGATTTATAAAGAATATTTTTCTGAACAACAGTTAAACAGATCAGTTTTAAACTTTAGGCGTGTTTTTAATTGAGAAAGATTTTTCCATTTTTTATCTTTTAGCAATGTATAAAGTCGTAGCCGTAATGAGCAATACAATATTTATGAAAAAATAATTTAAAGTTCGAAGAAATTGTGGAATGTAGTTACAATTTTCTCTATTTATATTTGTGAACGTGTGCGGAAGATAATTTGTTAAAAAAAAAATCATCATACTATAGTATGATTGTTCCTAACAAATTTGAAAGTTGAATATGGTTACATATTTCAAGAACTTTGGATAAAAAATGAGGATGATTTAGTTTAAAATAGTTTTGCAAGAAGTAATTTTTTTTTTTTTTTCGGAGGTGAGTTAACCTTATTAACCTAGTTAACGACTGAGATTGTTTCCAAGCATGTCTAGCATATCTGAGATGAGATTGAAAAGCACAAATTAGGATGAGTTTTATTATTAAAATATGACATGATATGATGTCATATTTTTGGAAATTTTTGGAAAGATTGGAATGCATTTCAATCCTAAGTTTTCAAAATATTATACAAGTAATAAATTAGAACCTATTTTGATTTCAAGATATTCAAAGAATTTGTTTTCTGGCCACCTATATTAAAAACTTAGTTGTTTGTTTATTTTTGTTTGCTTAGATTTAATTATAATATTATTAGCTTTTTTAGAACAAAGTGATAGTTTAGCTAAGCGAAGTCACTAAACAATGTTGACTAAATCATTAATCAAATTTTTGCGAAATTTTTCAAGCGACCAATTAATAAAAATCAAGCTAGTGTTATTGTGTCACAAAGTGGTAGATAAATGAAAATTTTGTTGAATCATTAATAATAAAAAAACAAAAATGTACAGGCTTCTAGATCAGATACAGAGCCTTGTAGAACACCTTAATAAGATTTACATAGCGCCAAGTCAATACCATTTATCAAGACATATTTGGTCACGTACTATTATCTGAAAAATTTACAATAAATTTTATCTTATATTTGCATCGCTTTGTCAAAATAAAATCAGTCGCGGTCGTGACAGCTACAAAAAAAGAAACAGAACTTGTTTAAGTAATTTTTTTTGTTTCTTTTTTTTAGATTTTTTGTAGAAATTTTGTTTTTTTGTAGAAAACTTTCAACAAATTAAAAATTTAATCTTTTTAATTAGGATGTTATATTAACTATAATACAATTTT